TGAAAGAGAAAGTAGGAAAACTTTCCCATTTACAATAGCCTCAAAAAAATGTTTGGGACTCAATCTAACAAAAGAGGTGAAAGACCTCTACAATAAAAACTACAGAACACTAAAGAAAGAAATTGAAGAACACCTTAGAAGATGGAAAGATATCCGGTGTTCTTGGATAAATAGAATTAATATTGTCAAAATATTCATTGCTATCTAAAGTGCTATAAAGATTTAATGCAACATCTAGTAAGTTTCCAATGATGTTCTTCACAGAAATAGAAAAAGCAGTCATAAAATTCATTTGGAAAAATAAGAGGTACAGAATAGCCAAAATTATATGATCAGCAAAAAATAATGAAGCATGAGGCATCACAATATCAGACTTTTAAATTATACTACAGAGCTATAGTAACAAAAACAACATGGTATTGACATCCAAATAGACATGTACACCAATGATACAGAATAGAAGACACAGAAACAAACCCACATGAATACTGTTATCTAATCTAGACAAAGGTGTTAATGAGATACATGGGAGAAAAGAAAACCTCTTCAATAAATGGTGCTGGGAAAACTGGTAATCTGTATGTAGAAAAATGAAATTAATCCATTATCTCTCACCCTGAACAAAACTCAACACAAAGTGTATCAAATACTTAGGCACAAGAACAGAGACCCTGTGCTAATAGAATAAAAAGTAGGCCCAAATTGTCAGCATGTCAGCTCAGGAACTGACTTCTTTAATAAGAATCCTAAATCACAAAAAGTAAAATCAAGAATGAATAAATGTGATGGTATCTAACTAAAAAGCTTCTTTAGAGTAAAGAAAACAGTCAAGAATGTGAACTGAGAGCTTACAGAATGGGAGAAAATCTTTGCCATCTGCTCCTCAGAGCATTATTCTTCAGGATGTATAAAGAATTCAAAATCTTAAGGCGCGCGCACACACACTCACACACACACACACACACACAAAATCAATAAATGGGCAAAGGAACTGAAAAGTCACTTCACAGAAGAAGAAATATGATCAGAAAACAAGTATATGAAAAAAATATTCAGCATCTCTGCGCGATTAGAGAAAGCAAATTAAAATTACATTGAGATTTCATCTCCAATCAGAATGGCAATTATCAAGAATACAAGTAACAATAAGTGTTGGCAAGGATGAGGGAGAAAAGGTGCACCCATACATCACCGGTGGCACTGCCAATTGGTGCAATTACTTTGGAAAGCAGTATGAAGATTCCTCAGAAAACTTGGAATGGAACCCCCATTTGATCCAATGATCCCATTTCCTCAGCATATACCCCAAAGACTTAAAATCAGATGCTATGGTGATGTGGCCACATAACATTTATAAAAGCTCAATTCACAATACCTAAGCTATGGAACCAACCTAGGGGCCCTTCAACAGGTGAAGGATAAGGAAAATATGGTATATATACACAATGGAATATTACTCAGCCTTAAAGAAAAATAAAATTATGGCATTTGCTGGTAAATGAATGAAAGTGGAGACTGTCATGCTAAGTGAAATAAGTCAATATCAAAAAACAAAGCCCAAGTGTTCACTCTTACATGGAAATGCTAACCCACAATAATATGAATGGAAAGAATAGAAGTTCATTGGATTAGAGAAAGGGAAATGAAGGAAAGGGAGGGAAGATAGGAAGAGGAAAGAGTATAGAATAAATTGGACATTAATTTCCTATGGTCATACATACATGAATACATGACCAGTGTAATACCGCATTCTGCACAAAGTCATTGCTTGGCCCTCTAAGCTGAGAAAGCTAGGAAATGTATCTAGGATCTACCTAGAAATTTCAACTCTAGTCCAACATCCCTGGACTCATTTTTCAACTTAACAGATTTCATATCTGCAATTCCCTTCTTTGGCAGATTTATCTCTTTTCTAAGCAGGAAGTTGAAGTTCTGACCACATAATTATCAGGAGCCTGAGGCTTTCCTGCCCTGAAAGTTGAGTTGATTCTGAATCACACATTCTAGGAGCTCCTTGGGCAGAAGTAACATGGCTCCTGATGTTGCAAATACTGTGCTTACTCACAAGAACTTCATGTCTACTCAAATATTTAATTTGGTGATATGACGAAAAATTTCAGAATGATATAAGTGAGTCCATTCTCAGAATTAGGCATGAACATGAAGAAAAAGACAGATATCTGTCAACCCTGTTTGGGCATTGTCAAGAGCAAGTATTAGCAAGATATCTAATGTTCAGTGAAAGGTATCTGAGCTGGGTTCAATTGGACAAACTAAGCCATATCTAAATCATCTCTTCAACTTGTTCTCTTCTAATGGATTGATAAATGTACGAATATTTCTCAGGCATTTCAGTTTAAATTTGTTAATGATGTGTTCAATGATAAAATTATTTTTCATCCTTATGGCTCAAACTCTTTTCTTACAGCTCAGACATCAACATTCCTAATTTAGTCCTATGTTCTTTCTTCCAAACTTTCGAAATGCTACACGTTCCTCCATCTGAAATTTCCATAAGGAATCCAGCTGTTCATGTTCAAAGTTTAATGCAGGATCTTTACCCTTAAGTTCATGTCCTCTGTTTGCTGATCCATCCATCACAGTTACACAAATCAACAATGAGATCATGATTTTTCCTACTCTTCCTATTTTTATCTTTATATTCAATCATAATGTCAATATTTCAATTATGTTAATTACTTTCTATATGAAATGCTGTAGTCTACTCTAAGAGAAAACATTTTTCCCCCTTGGGCTACAGAAATATATCCTGTTTCCCCAACATCAATTTATATAACTCCAATGCACATTCATATCTATAAACAAGAATTATGCACACTTTAAAATATGAATGTGTTTAAAATCATCAGTAACTCAAATTTTATTAGTATTAAGACCTGAATTCCTAAGATTGACCAACATGACAATATACAATCTCACATCTTTCTTCTTTACAATTGTTACCTGGAGCCAGCTACGTATACCCCTCTTTCTTTCTGTGATTCAGCAGCAATAGTTTTCTCTGAATTTCTCCAATGGATTTGCCTGCACTAGGATTTTGACACATAATGTTCCCTCTTAACCTACGTAATCTAAATTTATATCACAAATTTCTGTTCAAAAGCTACTTGCTTAAGACATTTGTCCCCAACGCTCAATTAGCATCAGTATTCTTTCATTGCACCGTGACCTTCTTTATAGCTCTTACCAGGGTTGTGATCAGATAATTGTATAAGTGCCATGTTTGAATCTACCATGAGAAAAATCCTATTCAGAACAAGATCAAGCTGTCTTATTCATGTCTTTAACTCAAATAACTAGAGAAGTACTTGCCATATTACCTCATCACCCAATAAATTCTAGTTTTATGTTAAACTAGGCTTTTATTGATTTGCAAAGTGTAGATAAGCATAGGAAAAGGTTTCTAAGGAGGAGCTAAAGCATAAGGAACCACTTTCAGGTCAGAATGAATGTGCTTTTATTTTCTAAAGAATATAATTGAGTATGGAAATTACATTGAAGGCAGAAGAAAGCTTTCTTTTAATCCAATAAGGTTTTTTCCTGAAGAATTTATTTTTTAAAAAAAAAAGCATCAGCCAATAGAATTTCTCATAAATATTCATGTGCATTTTTCTATTTTATGATTTCTTTCTCTGTAACTTCAGACCCTCTTCCAGGGACACACACACACACACACACACACACACACACACGCATGACAAATCTTCCTTCTCCCAAGTTACACAGAAAGTCCCTTTCACTTTCATCACCTCCATATCTCAGGAAAAACTAAGCCTAACTCAGCTTTCTATTTGAGGATTTAGCAATTAGATGTAATGTATTTCAAATTAGCTCATACTTGTGTGAAGTGCATTTTGTTTTCTTTGCATGATTTAGTTTGTGAGTTAAATAGCAATAAGGAAATTTCTACATTTTTATTGAAGATCTTCTCTTTCTCTTCTGTTCTTACCGCCACCGGTGTTTAATTCTATCATCGTCCTCAGCACTGTGATGTGTCACGTTTAATTCACTCTTCTGTCCTTCCTCAATTATGATGCTTTATGGATAGAGTAACTTCACATTGTTCATATTCTCCAGAGTCTAACATGGTACCTAGCTTATAATAGATGTTCACAAAATATTTATAAGAAATCAATAAATGACTCTGGTACAGCAAATGTTTCTGATTGATTTTTACCAAGGACATAACTGGAGCTCAGATAACTGGCAGATAACTGGAGATAACTGGCATAAAAAGAGAGAAAAGATAAATGCTCATGATCCAGTATATACAAGCAAGAGATGATAAGAATTTGGGTTGACACCCAGATTTGGTGATGAGAGGTGACTCAAGTATCATATACATAACAGTGTAATAAAATTTTGCTAGATCTATTAACTTTAAAAGACAGTTTTGTCATTTCGTAGTTTTGTGGTTAATCACTTAAATTTCCTGGCCTGTGTTTACTTGCCTATACCATGTATTAGAAGGTGATGATATATAACTCATTGGTTATTTTACATTGTCAAGGCCAAAAGTGGGAAGAGTGGATACATCATGACAATATACAAGGAAAAATATTTTGCTTCAGTGATTTATTTCTCATGAATATTGGTCATTACTATAACTGACAATTCATTATAAAATGTATACTGAGTTAAATGTTCTTTCAAAAATGAAGAGAGGAGTGAAAGATATCTAAAGTAATTATAAATGTTCAATGAGAATATGGTTAGTGTTTTTCTGAAATAGCCTAAGACCTGACTCAGAAAGATAAGGGACTCTCCACTTCATCTCATGAAATGATAGAAGTCTATGCAGGTTCGTTTTATGATAAAGGTTTGGGAGGGGAAACACAGAACTAATGTTACATGCACATGAAATTGTAGTTCTGAATGAAACCAAACACAAGGCCTAAAGCAAATCACTTAAATTATTCTTTTAATCTTTACCTAACATCAGTTTCACTGAATCATGAGCCATCTTCCAGGAATGCACACAACTTGGATAAGTGTTTATTCAGTACAGGGAAATTTTAGGAGTCCAAGGTGGCACATAAATCTAGAGAAGTGGTAGTCATATCTGCACAGTGCAGGACATTCTTCCAGGAGAAGATTTTGTCATCTGAATGGGTGACAGAAAGTCACGGCCCAGAAATTATTTGGAAATTACTCTTGAAGGCCTGGTGAGACTGTGAACAAAATGACAACCTTTTCACACACAATTGTCCCAATAGCTTTTTAAACAAAACTTCATAAAATATATATCAGAGAATCAGTATGGTCCACCACAAAACAGTGCATATTATAACTGCAACCATGCAAAATATAGCTTTGCTAAGTACAGACATGCAATATATAGATATGCAGAATATTAAATATCCTAGTACAGATATCCAAACAATGAAGTATCCAAACAATGAAGATATTTCATATATGTTCTCAGTTTACTAATCCATAAGGCTGATATTGTAACTATTGAATGCATGTTAAAAATAAGAAAGTGGAGTTTAGAAAGACTCTTTTCCCTCAAAGCCACATATAATACCTAAATAGCTATACTGAGGGAGGAAAAAAGCCAATTTGCCTGCCTCAAATACAATTATACTAAGGGTATATGATGATTTATGAATCGTTTTATTTTTCTATTTTCCCAAATATATTGAATACTGTAACATTTTCAGTATAAACTGAAATAAAAATATAGCATAAAAGGTTATCTACTTATTTCAAAGTACCTCTATAACTCAAAATATTTTTGGAATTCCTGTTTATAGTTGCTTTCAGAGTCAGCAGCATGCCTGCTTAAGCAGATCATAGTTATGAAGAAATTTGATTTTAGAGAAGGATGACATTTGGAAGTAAAAGTAGAGAAAAAGATCAGATACCAAAGCTGATGAAACATATCCTGTAAAAAATGAAATATGACTATGAAGTAATGACTTCTTGTTTGTTTCTGCTTCTATTTCTCCTGACGATATACTATCCCTAAGGTCCTGTTTAAAAGGAGTGCTCACAAATATTTGAAGAAATACATTTTCCCAATGTAACTTTTTTTTTCTTCAAACCAGGGATTGAAACCATGGGCACTTTGTCACTGAGCCACAGTCCCAGCTTTTTATCTATCTATCTATCTATCTATCTATCTATCTATCTATCTATCTATCTATCTATCAAGACAAGATCTCACTAATTGCCTAGGCTGTTCTTGAACCTGTGATCCTCCTGCCTCAGCCTCCCAAATAGCTGGGATTACAGGTGTGTGCCACTGCACCCATCCCAAAATAACATTTTCCAAAAGAAAATGCAGATGTGTAACTTTTATTTTTTATTTTTATTTTTTGGAGGGGAAAGAAAGAGAGTTTGAACAATGCAAGAACTTAGGTTTTTAGTCAAAATGGCCTCAGTTCAAACCTGGCTCAACTACCTTCACTATGAGCTTCAATTTCATTTGCAACGTGGAGATAAATATGGTCTATGTACTGATATTAAAATACATATCACCTATATATAGACTGTAGTGGAACTTAGTGGCAACACATAAAAATCACTAGGCACCAATCTTACCTGGAAACCAAGCAAAAAATTGTCATATTTTAAAATGTCTATTTACAGTGTTGGGAAGTAAAGAGGAGTATATTGTGTTTGAAATGCAAGCCAGCTGCAGAAACTATAACTAATGAAGTTCAGCACTTCCCCCAACTTGCAATTCATATAATATTGCTTTTAACTTAAAAGAAAAGTAGAACTTCAATCAATTCCTAGTGCAAGTATGATTTGGATATTTTTAAATTGTGTCTTTGGTAAACACGAGAGTATAAAGGACAAAGGGCACAAACTCATGATTGAGTTAAGTGCATAGTAATTGCCTACATGAAATAATAGTGGGAATTTAAGAAAACTCACTTTTAATTAGCATTCATGAGAGAGTTCCATTAGCAAAATATGCTTCTTAGGTAATAAATCAGTGAATTATTCTTGTTTTATGAAGTGTCTTCAAGATGTCTAACCTATATTGTTATTGTCTCTATGGTTAGTTATATCTCAGGAGATTTTCTGTTGAAAATCCTGTTTTCCAAGCAAGAAAGAGGTAATATGGAATCCAATATCACCAAAACCCCTGAGAACATGAGAAATATTCTTTGAGTCATAATGTAGTGCTATAATTCCATTCAGAACAGTTCTAAATTCTAGGATGAATATTCTATCTCTGATTTTAGCCTAGGGAGAAACATGCATTATAATATAAATATGAGATGTAATTGAAACATACATTTTTTTCTTTGTTTGGTATAGTCATTTCAAGTTAAATATTTACTAGGAATCTGCCATATGGCAATCAGATAAGTTGAAAGCAGAAAAATGTGGAGTTCTTACTTTGTGGTGAAGTAAAGAGTCAATAAATAGATAAATATCACAACTGAGGTGAAATATCCACAGAGGGATATTATTAGGTGGCTGGAAGAAATTTAGGTTAAAAATACAGATTTTAAATCCTCAATACTTAAACTTAATTCAAGGTATGGAGTAAGAAAACCCTTTTACATTATTAGTGAAAGTATAAATTGTTGCTCCTATTATGCAAAACACTATGAAAGTTACTAAAAGTTTTTTAGAGACAGAATTACCATGTAATACAAGAAACCAATTTCTGGGTCAATATTCAAAGGAAATGAAATCAGAAAGTTGTTGACATAATAGCACCCCTATGTTCATTGCAGCACTATCCACATTAGTTGAGATAAAGAATCAAAGTTGTCCCTCAGTGGGTTAGTGGAGGAAAATAATGGTACACATACAACAGAAAACTATTCAGTCCTAAAAAAGATTTACATTAAAACTAACAGAAGCAGTAAGTAGAATTCTGACAGCCAGCAACTGGGAGGGGAAAGAGATTGAGGAAATTTTGGACGAAGGATACAAAATTTGGGTTGGATAGGAGGAACAAATTTAATTTCAAAAGATGATAACAACAGTGCTTTCAGTGTATTGTATACTTGAAAATTGGCAAGAAAGTAGATTTTATGTTCTCACCATGAACAATAAGCCTGTGAGGTAATGCATATGTTAAGATTCTATACAATAAAATATGCAGTACACGATAAATATTTTAAATCTGTTAGTAAATATTAATAATGATATAGCAGAAAAAAGAAACAAACAAAATGTCCAGGGTAACTTTGAGCTGAGAATGTATATTGCAAATCTTTAACAAAACCAAGAATTGGGTTCAGGCGAAATATATAGAAGCATATAAAATATATTGAAAAGAAATGGTATTTACTAGGAAGCATGATTTAACATTATTTGAACTGGAAACAAATTTCAGAATTCACTACAATTCCTTTGTTAGACTAAAAAAATAAAAAGACCCCAAATCCAAGTAGATTAAGTGATTTTTACAATGTTCAATTACTAGAAAGTGGAAGGAAAGGGTAAAAAATTCACGATTCATGGATTGCTAGTCCAGTGCTGTTTCTACATTTCATTATAGGACATCTCTTTTCTTTCACCTGTCATGCAAAACATAATATATTTATGTAAATGAATTATTAAAGAATCTAGTGAGTTCACTTTAATAATTACTGCATGCTCCAGTTTGGCAGAAATTTTGTCAAATTATTCCTCCTATTCTATCTTTCAGAACCAACTATATTTTTTTTTCACTTTTCCCCCATATTCTAGGGGACACACTAATCAGTTTCACTCTATACTATCTCTGTTTGGTTCCTCTATCAGAAATATGTCTACTACTATTCATCTGTCCAAAGCCCATCCATCCATCCATCTATACCCACATGGGCTCCAGTTTTCTCCATGCCCAACACAAAGGCTTTTGCTATCAAAAAGTGTATCTATGTGATATGTGTGTGTGTGTGTGTGTGTTTTATTAGCCCAAATGTCATTTAGATTTTTTAAAAAATAAAGAAAAAGAAAAAAACTTATATACATTGTGTATTTCTTCACAATGCATATTAAATAGGAGGTTTTTTTTGTTTTGCATATCATACAAACTGGTTTATTGGGGTCCAGGTTATTCATTCTCAGTGATCTAATTCCATCTTTCTTTCTTGAAAACTTGAATTCACATATATTTTATAGATTTCAGCTTAGTTTTAGGGTTGTTAAGGATTTAAAAAATCAACCTCACTTAAAATCATAGTGCTGATTGTCCTATTCTTACTGCCACAAGTGTGGGCATGAATTTCTTGGCCATGCATCCCTGCTCTATTGTGCAGGATTTTTTAAGATGTTTAATTAATGGGGACTTAGAAACACAGCATCTCAAATAAAACAGGATCCTTGGAAGTCATTAGTTTTTAGAACTAGAATAATACCCAATAACAATATTATTTCTCTTCGTCTTAAAAGGATTGAGCATCGTGGTCAACATGTGCATAACAATACATATCCAAAACGCAAATTAAGGAATATAACTTTTCTGCAAGGAAAAAGTTACACTTCCCCCCTTATTTCATTACTATAAAATATCAAGGAATTCCGATCAACTTGTTGATTTTTTCCTAGTTTCACACTAATGTGAGGGGAGCAGCTGCTTGATCAGCAGCTGTGGAAGTATCTTTGAAGTTGGCGTTCAGGCGGGATCATTATTAGTAACTATTGGTACCTATGTAGTCTGTTACACATTTTGCTTGTTGCTCCTAAATATCTGAATACCATATAAAAAAGCTTTTCATTTTCCTTTTCTGTTTATATTCTTACAAAATAGTGCAGTTCCACATATACATTGTGACTTCAGTGAATGCAGACAGCAGTTTATCAAATTGAATTTGTGGAAACAACTAATAGGTTTTTGGACTCACTGATACTTCATAATAAATTCTTGTATACCTCACTGGTTACTACCTTTTCCCTCAAATATCAAGTTGAGGATCATAATATCTATTACCTTCACAGCATCACTGAAGATGCTAGTGGAAAAAAATATGGTTCATTTTTTGTGAATCAATAGTTCTATCTCTGTTGCTTATATTGTAAATCAACAGTTTCTTTCTTCTTACTTTAATCATTTTTTTGTTTCTATTTTAGTCATTTCTATTGTTAGGAAAATCCAGATCTCATGCCCAAAACCAATTGTAGATTTTTGCTCTTTGATCTTAATCAGCTGCATGATCTCTTTTACTCTCTTCAATACAGTACCCTCTCTACTAACAAGGAGAACATATTGTTCTTACTTTTAACATAGAGAAGTTTTACTTAACTCATAAGACTTTTATGAAGAATTAAGGATATAAAAATGACTGATATCTTTATTAGTTTAATAAATATTAGTGAATCCAAATGTGTGGCTCACCAATGTTTGAAATAATCCAATAAGCAAAGGTTTACAATTACAATTCTCATATTTATTTTGTGTTTCAAGAAGTCGAAACTTAGGAAAACTCATTGGGAAAAGAATAAAACATTAAATTTGTATGATAACTCTTTCATTAGAATTTTTATTTCTAGACAATTATAGATTTAGAGCACCTATATGTATACATAGAAATTCCCTGTAATTATTTACCCAGCTTCTCCCAATGCTTGTGTCTTGCCAATCTATAAGGGGGCTAGCTCAGCTATATTGTTAACACTGATAAAGTCAAGAGAGATAACAGGCGAAGTATCACCACCATACTTGGTATTCTCTCCCCATCTACCTTTCTGACCTCAGCCAACCACTTACTGGTTCCATATTTCTAGAAGTTTGTCATTTCAAGAATGTTATATGAACAAAGTCACATAACATGCAAGCATTTATGGTTGCATAATGACCTAGTGATTCATCAAAATTGTTGTACATATCAATAGTTTATTTCTATATTTCAGAGTAGCATTCCATGATATGAGTGCCCCTGTCTATTTTAACCATTTATATTGAAAAAGTTGTGACTTTTTTTCCAAGGTTTATTATGAATAAAGAGCTTATAAATATTTGTATATAAGTTTTTAATAAGGTCATAAAGTTTCATTTCTCTGAGATAAATAATAAAGAGTTTAATTGCTGGGTTGTTTGTCAAATCATGCATAGATTATCAGAAATTGACAAAAGTGTTTTCCAGAGTTACTATAGCATTTTACATTTCCAAAAACAGCATTATGAACAAATATAGGTAATTGACATTCTCTGTAGCATTTGGCATTTTAACTATTTTATTTTATTTTGCTGTGTTTTGTGTGGTGAAATCTCATCATGATTTTAATTTGCATTACCTTAATGACTAATGAAGTTGGACTCTTTTCTTATGCTTATTTCCCATCTGGAGATTGTCTTTCAGGAACTTTGAACTTGTCTTTAAATATTTTTCTCATTTTCTAATTGGATGATTTATTTGCTTGTATTGTGTGTTTCTGGTTGTTTTTTAATTGAATCCAAGAGTCACCCCTTGTCAGATGTGCTTTACACATATTTTACCTCCATTTTCAACTTGTCTTTTCATCTTCTTTATAATGATTTATACAGAACAAGAATATTTTTCAAATTTTCATAGTCTAATTTATCCTTCTATATATGATAACTTTAGGGCTAAATTGAAGAACTCTTTAGCCATATATCCTGAAAATATTATTCTACTATATGATTATTTTTCCCTAAAATTTTATAGCATTGTTTTATATTCAATCTGTGATCTATTTTTTATTTAAATTTTTAAGGTAAATATTTTCTTTCTTTTTTTTTTTTTTTGCTTATACACATCTAATGTTCCAGAACCATTGGTTGAAAATGCTTTATTTCTTCCACTGAATACTTATGCACTTCTGTTAAAAATTAGTTGGACATATTTGTGTCTGTATTTTTTGTTTCTCAGTTCTGTTCATTGATCTGTATATCTGTCCCTCCACTGATCCACTCTTCATAACTGTGGCCATTCAGTAAGCATTGATCACTGGATAAATTATTTCAACCTCTTTACTTTTAGATGATTTTAGTTACTCCAAGACCTATGCCTTTCCATATACATTTTAGCTTGTCAGTTTCAAGCCGATTTATTGATGGCAGCCAACGACCCCTACTTTAAGGGATTTGAGAGGTTTCCATGGGCAAAACTGCCTATTGCTTCC